GTCTTCACCTTTTCCTGCTGCTAGCTGCTAGCCTCTTGTGTGCCATGTCACTTCTCTACCTGGCTGCCATGACCCGGCCACCACTCCCCTCAGGCCACGGCTCTACCCCGGAGAAGAGGTGGGGTGGCAGGTAGTGTCGCCTGTACCCCCTGCATCTCTGATACGTCATCTATGCCCCCACCTTGTCCCTGCCTCATAGCCTTACTTGCGGGGAGCCACAGGAGCTGCTCTGCATGCTGCCTGGCTGCCACGTTCATGTGTGCATGTGCACATGCACATGGCACCCCCTACCTGATCACCCTCCTTCACTCCCCACAGCAACAGGCAGCCCTTTGCAGGCTGGAACTCTGCCAGCCTGCTAGGTAAAACCCATGTTTTCCCATGTTTTTTTCCTTTAAAAGAGAATCCATTTTTAAAGTTTGTTCACAGCCCTTTCATATATTTTGGAGACCCACTTTTGGGTCACGACCCACAGGTTGAGAAATGCTGCTCTAGTGCCCCATGGTTTGCCTGTGAAGCTCTCCAGCCAGGAGGCTGGAGGAACATCTGTTCAGTTTGTCTCCTGGGCTATTTTTCTACTGGAAGAAATTTCTTCCATTGAAAATGAATGTCTGTAAGCAGCCAGAGTACTATGAAAATGCAAAATAATGAAGTAATGTGAACCTGTAAATGAGTTTATATTTTGTGGTACTATGAATTTAAATAGAAAGTAAAATTTTACTTTAATGGGGTTCTTTAATGGACATATTTTTGGCTAATTATATAGGGGCTATTTAATTTAAACCTAGAATTAACACATTTTCATGAAATTTAACCAAGAACAGTCAATAAAGAAACAAGTATATGCTTAGATTAAAACATTTCCCTGAAGATTTTCTAGTCCATAATGTGTAGTGCTGTTTTAGAGTATAGAGCAGGGGTGGGCAAAATACAACCCGCAGGCTGAATCCAGCCCACCAAGGGATTCCATCCAGACCACAGTGGGTTCCCTTAGCCCTGCCTAGCCCAGGCTTGAGGGCAGCATGGGGTGTGGTGCCTGTGCCTGGTTCTGCTATCCCCGGGTGTGAAGCAGGGCAGAATCAGCCCAGCAGCCGGACTCAACTTCCTGGCAGCCCCGTGGCTCACTCTGCCCAGTTACTGCTGCCAGTCTGTCCCATGCCCACTGCTGGGAGCACCAGATGAAGCAGGTGGGATCTCCATGGAGACAGGCCCAGGACCTCTGCAGGCAGACTGTGCTCAGCTGGGCACATGGGATGGGGCTGCAGGTGGGCGGGGAGTGGCATGCAGGAGCAGGATGGGTGGGTGGGGCCAGGACCAGGATCATGGGGCGTTGACATTGTGGGGTTGGGGCCCAGGGCAGAACCATGACATGCTCTGCATACATCCCTGCCTGTGGAACTGGCGTCTGTTGCAGGGACATGCAGGGAGCAGATTGTGGCTCTGCCCTGGGCCCCAGCCCCGAGCTGTCACTGTCCCGTAATCTTGGCCCTGGCCCTGGCTATTCCTGGGTCAGCATCCCCTTGCCCCCATTGACTCCTGGGTCAGCACCTCCCCCGCTGGCTCACCAAAACTCCTTCAGTGGCCCTCCAGTCTAAATAATTGCGCACCCTGGTATGGTGATTAGAAAGTGAAACTGACTGGAAACCGAATGAAACTAAGGCGTCTGGGTGCATGTGTAGATTTAATATATGTGAAAGGACTGATCAGTGAAGAACGAAATCCACTTATGAGGCAGTCCAACCTACATGTGTTTCACTGCCAGTACACCACCTCACCTAACCCTGATGTGGAAAACGTACTTCTTGGATGAGATCTCGAAGTCAGTCTCCATTTTTACTCTAGCTTTGGCCTTTCCAACAGCGTTGGCAGCAAGGGTGCCAACTGTTTTATGATGTGGATGCCTTATTATTGGTGTTCTGAAAACTGGATCAAGAGCAGCAAGCTTACTTCACATAGGCTACCAAGTAGCCCTGGGCTTTTTTGGAGTCCCTACCTCTCATTGCAGGTCTGCCCTTAGCTGCAAAACCAAATCCTTTGTTGTTTAAAATATACTGGACTTTATGTTTTAAATGCGGCCACAAGAACATAACAATTGCCATTTACTGGGTCAGTCCATAGATCCATCTTCCTCAGTATGCTTCTTAGTGGGCATTGGCCCACAGTCTCTTAAGCAACTCTTAAGGCCTGTGTCACACAGCCAATAAGTATAAAAAACAAGTACAATCTAATCACCCAATTTTTCTCTTAAAAGTTCATCAGTACAACATAAAATACAATGATCTCCGTAGTACAGAGACTACAGGGCCGGCGGCTTGATGATTTATGTACATGCACATTTCACTAGTACGTTGTAGCTGGACCTACTTTTTGTAGCTCAGTGAAACAAGAGATATGTGGCCTACTTTTAATTTTAATTTATGTACGTTTTACTTCAAGATAACTCCATGGACTTTATGAAGTATTCTTGATTTACATCTGGAAGAAAAATATTAAAATCAGGCCCAATATGTTGAGTTAACATGAAACTCTTCTTGGCACAGCCAGCAACTATAATGAGGAAAAGGGTAGAGCAAGAAGACATTGTTTCACCACAGTAAGTGGTTAGAGCTCCAGGGTGCTTGTACATGTGATGGGGGTTTAATCCCCAAAGGTTTATTTTATGCCCTGTAAATTGAAATGGTGGGTTTTTAATTGAAACTCACCATTTCAATTTTTTTCAAGAGGGCAGCTGGGTGTGCTAGAGGCTGGAGAAGGTGGTGGGAATGGTGCATGGGGTGCTGGAAGCCTGCCAAGCCCAAGTTTCCCTGAGCCCGCCAGCGCTTCCAGTGCCCCACGCACCATCCCTGCCACCTTTTCTGGCTGCCAGCACACCCAGCTGCCCTCCTGCTGCTTCTCTGCACTGCCCCAGGGGCAAGCCAGCCTGTTTCCAGGTGCTTTTAGGCAGTGGAAGGTGGCAGGGACAGTGCATGGACTGCTAGAAGCCCCAATGGGTTTGGGGAAGAGTTGGATCTGGCTGGGTGCTGCCTCTGAGTTGGGGCAGCCCCAGCCTGCTAGCAGCCCACTGGGGCAACCCTGGGGAGTGCTGTTGCTGTTCAAGGAAGGACTGGGGCCTCCCACAGCTCAGGGGCTGCTTGGCCTGCTGGCAGCTCACCCCCTGGCTGCGGGGGATCAAGCAGGCTCTGCGAGAAAAAAAAAAGGATCAGGCCCCTCACTGCTTCTGACTTCAGTCAGATTCCTGCTGAAGGCAGAAGTGGCGAGGGGCCTGACTTTTTTGTTTTTTCCAACAGAGCATGCCCACCTCTCCCATGGCCTCGGGGCAAGCTGACAGCTGCATCATTGCATTTTGCAATGTTGCAAACTAAACTACATCCAAATGTAGTTTAGTCTGCAATGATGCAAAGTCATTTAAAAGTGCCAAAACTGGCACACGTGTAATGCATGATGCCATTAAGCCACACAAATTACATTTCCATCACGTATACATCATGATGAGCCTCACATGTACAAGCATCCCCAAGGCATACATTTAAAAATGGTTATAGGTCCAGTTTCCTCCTTTCTCTATGGGGTACTGAAAATTATGGGATTCTTGGCATACAGAGCATTGCTGAGCAGAATGCTCCACAATCATCAGAACAAAAGGCCAACCACGCTAGCTCTTTGTGTGGCTCAGAGAAACTAAACACAAGGTGGCTGAACCTGGAAACAGCACTTAGGCTATGAAGTCTATGACTTTTCCCTTCTTTTGCTGCGTGTGCTCATGAATGTCTGAATTCCAGACAGACTTCAGTCTAAGGGATGTTAAAGGCCTATTATGAGTTCTTTTCAGTGTTGTGTTGTAAGAAAACCTGGACTGGGGAAGGAACCAGGGAGCACAGCGGAAGGTGGTGGGAGAAGGAAGACTTTACTTAAAAGGAAATCTGTAGAACTAATTTGTTCCACCAGGAATAAAGCATTACATCTCTTTTTCCTGCTGCCTCCAAATGGGCCACTGGCCCTGAGCAAGGTTTACCACCACTGCCTGCCTTCTCAAAGGACACACAGTTAATGTAGCTTAAAGTAGTATTAATGGCTGCATAGTTACCTATGGAATTTAAAGAGCTGGCAGGCTGATCCCTGACTCCTCACTGCCTGTTTCTTGGATTTGGGCTACTAGTTAAATAATTGTACAGATTTTAAACAACCAGACGTATTCACCTGATGTGTGTATACCTGTGTGATTCTCAAGCTGATATTTAGCTATGTACTTTCAGCTTGTTTTTTTTCCCCCTCCAAATTTTGGATGCTATTCCCAATGACTGCAATATGCTCCTAAAGATTAATTTACAATTCCTACCTGGGGAACTTCAAAATCAGTCTGAAGGTTTCCTGAAGTTAGTCCGCTCAGCAGGATTATTTCATTTTCTTTAGGTGGTTGTACATTCATAGAGCTGATAAGTTTTGGGAGATTTGGAGAGACACTGATCAATCTCTGCAGTATGAAAAATAGGTTTGAGGCAATGCCATTCCATTCAAGTCAGTCATGCTGTCAAACTCATGAGCATTAAGGTCAGTTTGTAGGGACTCCTTTAAAAAAGCATTCTAAAGTAAAGTTAATACTCAGAATAAAGAATAAGTATAGTGCTGAACACGAAAATCCTCTATTTATGTACCAAACAATTACAGCAGGGTAGTACAATTCATGCAGTGCCCTACAAGGGCAATCTGGACACAATCACTTTGAGATAAAGTAGTTCAGTTTCCACATGCATCAATATCCTTGGCCTTTCTACTAAGAGACCAAGAACACTGTATGGAGTGGGGGAGCAGTAGGGGCCAATTTTTTGGCACTCTTGCGAGAAATCAGCCTGGCACCTTTCCTGAGCTCCTGTCTTATTTGCCACTGTACTGCCTGTCCCCTCCCCAAGCTGCTGCATGCCACAAACAGAGGTTGTCTGTGCCACTAGTAGTACTTATGCTGCAGGTTGTCCCCCACACTGTACAGCATTAGTCTATACAGCAGAAAAAGATTCACTAATTCTCTATGGGCCAAATCTTGCATTTTTTACCTAGCCCTATGATTAGCAAGAAACTAGTTTTACTTGAACGAGACCCTGATTTTTGTCCTGTCAGATTAATCTGGCATTATGCTTTTGGCATAATTATAATAATGCATTTAATACACAGATGGAATAACCATGTCTTAGATTTAAGATGCTCTGCAGGCTACATTGATAGGTTACTGTTTGGGAAGTGAAAAGAGACCAGCTTCCTTTGGCATGTGTTTTACAAGACGCACAATACATCTGACAAAATTTAGGATAAATGATGATGATACTTTGTAGAGCTGTTGTATCCTGGGCACTGTCCTAGACCAGGATCACAATTTGCTGTTGTTCATCATACAAACACTGAACAAGACCCACCCAAAATGATTACATAACACCTTCCTGCCATGCTTTATGAATAATATGGAATTAAGCATCACCAAACCTCTATGAGGCAGGTTGTCACTGTATTGTCAGAATTATCGTTGCTGCATTATACAGAAAGGCACATGATGAGTCAACTTGCAGGATCATGAGTGTAATCCAGACCTCAGCATCCAAGCCTATACTTTACCTTTTCAAAATGATAAAGCTTATACTGCTGATATTATTCCTTAGAGTAAATTAAATTAGATATAATAAAACTTTTGGGCTTGGCAAATCCAATTCAATTTTGAGGAACAATCCGCTTTTCAGTAGATTGATCTTTGGTATGACTAAGTATTTATATTTGACATAACTTAAATTCAGTGCTTCAATTCATTCTGACATTTTAGTCTAGCAGAAAAAAAAAATCTCCTTTTCTTTTTTCAAATTATAACCTTTCTGTTATACACATTTCTTTAGGTGACTATATTTTCTCTTACTTAAGTTTCTACATTTATCAGCTTACTTGGGTTGGAAAATATGACATTTTGAATTTCTCTCTCTCTCTTTTTCCCTGTTTGAAATGAAAAGGAAAAACATAGGAAAAAAGTTCTTTAAATTCATAACTAAGAACTGGAGGCACGGAAAGTAGGACATCAGCCCTGGATTCTGACTATGACAGGGAGTCAGAATCATGCCCTCAGATGTTTTTGCCACGGCAAGGGCAACCCTTTTCTGCCCCTGCCCCTGCCCAGCTTTAGGAACTGTGAAAGGCAGCACCACACTAAATAGTGTTACTTGGCAGTGCGGAGGGGGTAAGTGGAGGCACTAGTGGAGTGAGCAGAATGGTGCTCCTGACCCACAAAGAGCCTTTGTCACAGCAGATGCATCCCAATACGTACATGTGGGGGAAGACGGGAGCAAAAGGGGCACCACGGTTGGCTCCCAGTGAGCCTGGACATAGAGCTGCTGCAACTAGAGCAGAACTGATGCTGCTACAGCACCAGCAGCGGTGACCATACTAGGCTGGAAACGTTCTTTCCTTCCCTTTACTCACATCCTACTCCCTCTACAGTGGTCAGCATACTCCTGAATCCCCCCACCCTACCCTGGGTGCCAGTGAGCTCACTACGCCTCTGTAGTAGTATTTTTACAAACCACTGTTGCATTTACCTATATTATAAATTATGCATAGAAATTTAGATGGACAAGCTTCTCTTCTAAAGGCTGACAGAAAATGCAGACTTCCATTTTGGTATTATATGTTTTTAAATGTATGCTACCAATAGAGGAAAAAGAAGTCTCTCTGTTTATACCTCTCAAGCATTCTGTATATATACTGAAAACCAGATTTCTAAAAGGCCAAATTCTATAGACTGAAGAACGCCCACATACACAGGGACTCTAAGGCTACAGTATCTGTTGTGCTGCATGGGATATCCCATGAAGTGACCATGCAGAGGAATTATGGGGAGCAGTGTCCTTAAGGCAATGTAAGTGCTGGGACCAGTGAATGGACTACATGGAGAAAACCCATCCATTTGTGGAGTGTTTCCAAAGCTATGTTTTGCTTGTGGGAGAGGATTCTATTCCCAGATCCTTGCAAAGAAGAGATGTATATTTAACTTGGGTTTTGCAAGAAGCAGGGGTTTCTCAATTATATCTCTTACCTGACAGCTGTTATTGGACCAACTGTACAATTGGGAAAGATGTTAGACTTGGATTTTGAGCAGATATCCAGATTTAGCCTTTATTAACAATCTCTTAGTCATTCATTAGTCCTCATGACCTGATACAGTGTTAGGTCTTTAACAACATGGAATAAATATGGGCTCTTTATAAACAACAACAATTATTCCCCAGTCCTCATGACATAATCCAGAACTTCTGTGGATGTAGTGATGTTAAACTTCTCAATCTGGTGTGCACATTTAAACAGCTTATTCGACAGAAAAAAATAATTTGTTCTGGAAGCTGTACATATTTCTGATGTTTGCATCTTCACAGCTCCAGGATACAGAGAAGTTCTTGTAAAAGTAATTCCTGCTAATGAATCACTATCAGAAGGCAATTAGGCCCCACTATCACTCAACTAAGACTACCTCAGCAAGCCCACTCTCCATGTTTCATGGAGGAGCTCATTGCAAATGGACAGTGGACCCCTTTTGTATTCACTTGCCAAAAACTTAATTCACCTGGGTAGCTGGATGCTTGTCATAGATGCCTTGATGGGATGATAGAAATGGGGAGGGTAAGGGAAGGTTTACGTTAAAAGCATATTTGTGCTATGGTCTTAAAGTGTAACTTTCATAACAGTGCCACATGAGCATTTTAGTAAGGTGCAGCCATGCACTGGTGAGACCTCACCTGGAGTACTGTGACTAGTTTTGGGCCCTATTCTTCAAGAATGATGTGGACAGTTTAGAAAGAATGCAGAACAAGGCAACAAAAAATATTAGGGGCCTGGGAGGCAAGGCTTATTAGGAAAGGTTGAAAAAACTACGGTTATTCAGCCTGGAGAAGACAAGACTGAAGGGGGGGGGTGGATTTTCTAACAGTCTTCAAATACCCGAAGGGTGACTATAGAGAGGATGGAGATAAGCTTTTCTCTGTGGCTGTGGAGCAATGACCTGAAGTTGCAGCATGGGAAGTTTAGGCTGGAGATTAGGAGGAACTTTCTGACTCTGAGAGTTATTGGGCATTGGAACAGGCTACCTAGAGAAGTTGTGGATTCTCCATTTTTGGAAACTTTCAAAAGCATGTCAGACAGACATATGGCTGGGATGGTTTTTAGTCAGGGGTGATCCTGCCTTGTGCAGGGAGCTGGACTA